GACATTGTGTTTCTCTCCTTGCAATACAAATCAAAAGGAGAAATGAAATTAAATGTAAATATTTAATTCCCTAAATTTAGCAAACATATATGCATATCAAGAATCCCCCTACACGATATAAATCAATTTTAAAATAATTTGGAACATTATATAAAATGAAAAACATTGTAAATGCTACAACATTCCTAATTCCTTTTTTATAAATATGATAATTTAATTGAATATTTTTGTAATGTAATGTGGACTCCTTTTGTTTACATTTGTATTATAATGATTTATTTACACATTTTTTGCATGCCTTATCATATCTATAATTCGACACTTGCGTTTTGTTCTAACGGTTTTTTTAGCATTCAAAATGTTTTTCCTTTTATATACTGTTCCAAATTATTTTACTTGATTTATATCGTATAGGAAAATTCGTGATATGCATATGAGTTTGCTAAATTTGGGAATTAAATATTTACGTTTAATTTCATTTCTATTTTCGATTTGCATATGGATTAACAAGGACGAAAGACGATGTCTCAACTGTCGAAATGAGCGTGAAATAAGGTAATTTTCCCTGAAGAGTCCATATTGTACTGTTTCGCTATCTTCTCAGTTGTTCATTTTTAGGTACTTTTCTTTACATAGCTATAAATATTGTTAGAAAATTTTGCATAGCTTTACGCACATAGTTTTACGTATCACAGTTTTATTATTAGCTATTGCTTGTAAACCAATTTTTCTTTTTACTATTTCAAGTACTTTAAGAAACATTTTCTGAAAAAAAAAAAATGCAAAATCTTTTAATTTTAATTTTTCTATTGCTTTTAAATATTACTTAAAATTACGACTTAGTAAATCGGAATTTATGTAGACTTCAAATTGTAATTCTTAGTTTATTGGCTTTCTTAAATTTACTTTGAAATATAGGAATTATAATAGGAGCATTCCTCTTTCATTCTTATTATATATATAATTTTAGATAAATTAAAAGCAAATTCAAAAAATTATATTCAGATACAGCACACAACCAAAATGAAATTCGTGCAAAACAATGTAAAACATTATTGCAAAGAATTGATATAAGGTTTTTTAATTAAATTTTTTGTAGCAAAATTGAAAAACAAAACTAATTTATACTGTTTTATGCAAATATCATTTGGGTTCTATTTTGCTGTAGCTGAATATTATTATTTGAATTTTCTTTTAATTGAATTTTTAATTATTATCACTAATTTTATAGCATGTATGAGAACTTCTGGTTTATTTTAACTTATTTTTTATTTATACATACGCGAACAGTTATATGTGCATACATGTACTGCATGTATACACATACCTAACTCTAATAATGTTAAGTAAAAGAATTAGACAAGAATATGTGCACTATATTATCAAAATTAGTTAAAGTAGCAAATTATCTTCTTTCAGATCTTACGACAGATTATGCAATGACATCTTCTTTCGAAGACTCTGTTATCTTCCTATTTATAACAATTCACTGCATTTAAAACTTTCTTACCGTTTTTTTAATATTCATATAATGAATAAATAACACGTAACAGCGTGCTTTTTTTACCTTGGTTATTTCCAAATATTGTTTATCAAAGCTGGTGCAAATTTAATAGCCTTTGTTATAAAAATAATCTTAACATACTGTTCCTTAATTTAGTTATATGGTATTAATTTCTTTTTATCAGTATAAAAGATGCACGTCATTTTAGTAAAAGTATTATAAGTAATAATTAAAAATTAAATTAAATTTTAATTAATAATATAAACTAAATATAAATGAATTATAAATTTAAAATAAAATAAATCTGATTTATCAGTGCTGTGATGTTACAAAGTATGTTTCCAGCGATAAGAACAAAGTTTAAATTTAGTATATGTAAAGTAAAATGTGATTAACCATTAGTCTTTAATGTGCATTTTGCACATAAATGTAGAGAACATTTTGCATTTAATTGATTAATGCACAATGAACCTTTTACTAGTAAGAATTTTTACTCTAAAGGGCCCGTATAAAAGTTAAATTTATATTTGTGGGATTCTTCCAGCCACAGTATTAACACCGCTTTTATAAAATTGTGTTGCTCCTTAAAGAAACATTGTTATTGGAAAAATATATGTATACATTTAATATTTTATTATGTATACATTTAATATTTAACTTATTGTAGAGCATTATCAACCTCATAAGATTACGCATTTCCTTATTTTCTAGACTTAGGGGCTGACCTACGCATATATATTGTACACAGAAAGAGAACAGGTTTCTTGACTTATATTGTTCCTGCTGTAAGGTTTATATTTATTTTAACTAACATTTATTTTAAGTTTAAGCTATCTTTCCTGACAAGCCTTTACTTTCCCCTAGAATTGCCAATGCCAGAGTATGTAATTGTAGTAGTACGCGCAGTCTATTCAAATTTTAGCAGAAGTAAGTTGAGTTTAAATAGAAGGGAAACGAGATTGTATGTGTGCTTCTTGAATCGCGAACGTGACGGTTGCTAGGTAGAAATTTAAGAACCGCGCGTTTCGGCCTGTGTGCCTATCTCGGCAGTTCGCTGAATTTTTCAACTGCTTAATCAGTAAGCTCGCTGAATCTCAGCTGTCTTTTAAAACGCGGTTAAGTTAGTTACGATTTAAGAGCCTCGTAGGTAGAGATCTAGTTATTTATTCATCCTGTCATTAATTTTTAGTTTCACGTTTCTGTTTTTGTTAAACCGCCTGGTCGGCGTAGTTTGTGAGCGTCAAGTGAACGCAGCTGTTATTTCTAAAGTGGAATAAAAAGGGCTTTAAAACCCTTCTTACGTGTTTGTGTAACTTTACAGTTCATAGCAGTCACTACCACAGTTGCTGACAAGTTGGGGCCATCACAACACTACACTGCTTTTCATTTCTTCTGCCAGCTTTAATCTCAAGTTCTTACTCAATAGTTTGCGAAGGAAACCACATAATTTTAGGAAGGATCCTTAAAGAAATAAACTTAGAAAAGTAAATAATTAAAGCTAATTCCATCAGTGTCAATGTATTTCACACTCGGTCAGTTATGTCCTGTCTGAGCAAACTCAGAAACTTGCACTATATTCAAAGATTTTTGTTTATTTTAGCTAACAGATATTTTTATGGTATGACAGCAAGAGCTAAATTTCTTATTTGTACTTAAGATGCTACTAAAGATGCTGGGCATTAAACATACTAAGTGAAATTCCATTTTTATTATTACAATTCTTTCATTAAAACTAAGGTAAGCGAAAGTAACTCATTTTTTTAACCGCAACTTGAAATGTTCATTGTTTGTTATATAACTGCAGCAATTAGAAACTTCGCGTGATGTATTTTTATTTTTAAAAAACTGCCTGCTTTAAGAAAGATTTATGCTTTTCTGAAACGACAAAATTAAATTATGATGAAACACAGACAGTCACAATTGATTTATTTTGAGTGCGCGTTTGTAAAATTAAATTAGGCTTCATTACTCTCATCCTTAATAATTCCACTTAAAATGAATTAATGTATAATGCGCTTTGAGTACCCTTAAATGCATAATGCGCTTTGAGTAGTCACAATGATTTAATTTTTGCATCCATATTTAAGTCATTTGTGTCCTCATTGAGTTGATACATATTTTATCATCTGGATTTGCTCCTGCAGTGAACGTTTTTATTTATTGTTATAATGCACATTTAAATTTCTCATACATATTTTATTAACCTAAATGTTAGATATTTATCCAAATATTAAAGTGTTTTTAAAATAAATTTATGCATATATGTGACTACGAAATTATCCAATATTGCTTAAAATCATTATTAAATTTTAGGTGTTGTGTAACGAAAAAGAATTTTTGCTTTTATTCTAAATTTACTTTGTAAGGTACACTGAAAGTATAGTTATTTTTTACGTACACTGTAAATATATTTATAATTCATATTTCATATAAAAAAGTCAAGGTAAACTTTCGGATGAAATATTTTGTAAAAGATACGAGTATGTGTCTCATAAATTCATGAATGAATTTTTTTTATTAAACCAGTATATGTATAAATAAAATTTAATAATTCTTATTTCATTAGTAGAATAAAAAATGTAAAGTAGAATAGAAAATGTTTTGAAAAGTTATATGTTCATTTTCATGTAATAAAGAATCTATAACTACATTCTTATTAGTGATGTTTATATAAAGGCGAAGAATTTCTGCAGAAAATTACACTTGCTCATAGTTTTAAAACTTTGGATTCAATAGGAATGCATAAATCTTTCAATTTTTCAGATCCCAGCAGTCACATTTCAGGTAAAATACTGGAATTTCTTTAAAACTTTACAAGTTAGAAATTATCAGTTAAAGTGATGTTATTTTTAAGTACCATTCACAATCATATTATCTATATGTCCGATAAGCTGTACAATTAGAATTTAACTCTTAAGATACAATTATGCACAATTAACTCAAAAATTCTTTAATTTTAGATACATTACTTGAAAATTATAATAATTAAAAATTATCGAAGTAGATTAATTTATCCGTGCCACATAGACATGCATATATATATATATGCAACATAAACATGTATCCCTTCCGGATCCTTTCAACTTCATAAATATAATTTATTTGAATCATAAATGAATCATAAATTACGTTCTGTAAATTAAGATTCAAAATTCCTCAATGATGAAATGATACTACGCTTTCAATCAAAGTGTAATATTTTGAATCTTTCATCTCAAGTGCAAATGTTTATTAATTCAACTATTTTGTTCTTTATTTTGTGTTTATCTTAAAATAATATCCATTTTGGAAACTGTTCTTGGAATTGTCATATTAAGAAATATGCATGGCTTTCGTAGTTATTTGTTTAAAGGCATATCTGAATGAAGAAACACAAGTTTTACTCAAAAGCATTAATAATAGTTCTGAAGAGTAGTATTTGTATAAGCCCACCTACTTATCTTGATTAGTCTGTATAATACTATGATAATCAATGCTAATAATATTCATTTTCCAGCTCCTCTCGCTGTTTACATAACGCCCCAGAGACAAATAGTGGACGTGGGTCGTTCGGCAACCTTCAACTGCACAGTGTCTGGTCAACCAATCCGATCTTTAAACTGGGTGAAAGATCAAAGGCCCATTGAAGATTATTATGGTGGTGGGCGATTGGTATTACTAGCTAGGGACGTTCTACATATACCAGCAGTTCAGAGAGAAGATAAGGGAATGTACCAATGTTTCGCATTTAACGATTTTGAATCAGCTCAGAGTTCGGCGGAATTGAAGTTAGGCGGTAAGTTCTAAAATTTACTTAATATTTTGCGTTTAGGTACATGCCTGGTCTATATTTAAAGTAAATAATGGCGTACATCTAGTTTTTAATTTTTACAATTTTGCAATGATTGCATATTCTTAGAGTGAACCTAAAATCACTTTTGTCGCATAGGCACATATTCTCACCCGATTCTTGCGAGTTAAAATATGAATTAAGACCACAGAACTAATAATTAAGTTATACATCAAGTACTGAATCAACCATCCTTTTTCTCATTCAATAATGAAGAATCATCATTAAATAAGCAAAATGTTATTTAATGATGATTCTTCATTATGATGTAAGTAATGCAAAATGATTAAAGTAATACAAATTGCTTATGACAATGATTTTCCATATTTAGTCGCAATAAACATATAGATAGAGCCTTAAAAAGTCTTTACGACGGACGACTTTAATCCATTATTTGGATTTCATAATTTTAGTACCTAATTTAAAAGAATTAATGAATTTTATACGTTAATCAGTATTTATTTATATATATATATTTCCAAAATATTTGTGATTTATATCTCTGGTGTTTGTTTCTAAAACCACTGAAAATGTTTCGACTAAAATTACGATTCGGAAAGTTAAAAGTGATTCAACAAGTTTAATTTATGTGGAATACCACTGTTAGTTAAAAATAGAGAATAAAATCTATAAAGGGATACTTTAAAATTTTAATTGCCCTTGTTTGGTAGAAAGTAAGATTCTTCGAATACAAATTATTTTGTTAATATTTAAAAAACTAAAGGAAATACTTACACGTTGTTAAAAAAAAATTTTGATTTTTTAAAACTTAAACAGCACTATGCACTACCTCATTTAAAAGTGCATATTCTTAAAATATGTTTAAAACCTAATTTCATTTGAATTAAAATACATAGAAAATTACTTTAATTAAAAACCAGTAATTTATAAAAAATGCATAAAAATAGTAAAAATAATAAATTATCATAATTTTAAAGTTTTTAAACCACATCTGCAAGTATGCTTGCTGTTTACACCGAGTCTCGGCGTTAAACCCAAAATTGCGATTTAAGAGCCATCATAGATTTGCATCTTTTATTGATTAAAAGTACAGCAGTAATATCACAGTGGCGTGAGCTGCCCGATTATTTTCATTTAGTGATCTTAATTACGTCATTAACTACGTATCTAAAACCAATAAGTTTATCAATAGTTTTATTCTTATCAAAGTGTTTTCTTTTTTCATTATTTTTTTAAGTTTATTTGTATATGGCTCAATGTGTAAAGCTTCTGAAGCTTTTTCTCCTAATATTCCCATCTTTGAAAACCCTTGAAAATACCACAATTTTTGGCTTTTTCATTCTTATTTAAGTGCATCTGGCAAAGATGTTGTCCCATAATTTCTTTTAAAAATAAAAAAATGAAAAAAAGCCTAATTGGTAACCAATGTAGGGCAAAAAAAAGTATGGGAACATTAAAAAAAATGCATGTCAAATTGGCTAGACTATAAGACTTGTCATATTTCCTAAAAATTCCTTTCTGAAAACCTTTCTGTCATTTCATGTTCAATTTAGTATTTAGAAATGCATTTAAGAATACTTTGATGTATCTGGTATCTACTACTAATGAAAATGTATTCAGTTAGTTTATATTATAACTTTGGTGTTTTAAATATTCACCTTTCTTTTGTGAAATACCTCATGTATTTGTGAATGTACCTCTTTGTGAATATATTAAGCTCATTTACGTAAAAGCGGTTTACATACAAACCCTTTCTTCCTTGCAAAATGAGTTCAAAATTAAATCCGCTCTTTATTTGGACCAGAATGACATGTCTTTTATTAAAGAATGAATAATGATACTTTATCAATTCTAAAGTAAAATGTCTGATGTGGACATTTTCCTTTTACAGCCTATTAATTATGCACACTTCATTCAAATATATATCCTCGAATTATTTTAACTTTATTAACCAATACCTGAAGGCAAGTTGAAAATTGCATCACAAACTGGGTATTTTTTTATTTAATATCCCAGTCAATTTTTGACGAACGAGAGACAAACTTCTTCTAATTGAATTTTTCATAAAGAATATAAAACTTTTCAAAGCATACGTACAGCAACTAAGAGACAGCATTAAAAGTTGTAAATTATCATTTTTTAAATTTAACATCGCCAAAATACGAACATTTTCTTCATTTAAAACACTGCTGTAAGTGGAAGTATATGACTATGACCAATGATTGAGAAATAAAGGCCGGATAAGACTTTTAAGTCGAATAAGGAAGTAGGTATATATACAGTTATGTGCAAAATCAAGAAAATTTGCACTTTATGCCAAATTTCAGGAAAATCGAGGGACGGATTTTAATGAAAGTTGGTATGGATATACATTTACCACAGCTAAAGAGATATATCATTCGGAAGTCATTTTATGTGCGTATGATTTTCAGTAAAGCTCATAGTGCAGAGATATCCAAATCCACGTTGCGATTTTAAACTGAAAATGAGTTTGATATGGAGTATGGTCTAACAGAGTACTCTCAAATTCAGACAAGTCGCGAGATGTTATGATATACTGAACATGAGACAGCTGAGAAGTCCCTTGCCAATCGAACCCACTTCTGCTGCAAAGTAGTTTCAAATCAAAGACGGTTCTCGGAAAACTTTGGGTTTGTACACCTTGAAACTCGGGTTGTATAGGCAGCACACAGCTTACATGAGAGCTGTGAAGCTGTAGCACTGTATCCCCGCGCTGAAGGTGCCAAATAACGATCTTCGTGCGTCGTTGTGGATCTTGGTCGATCTCTTACAGGTCTTCTTGGTATAAATCCAGGGACCTGAAACTATTTCCACAACTTGAAAACTTGCACTAGGCGTTACATTGAGCTCTGTAGTCAGCTGCGCTCGTGATTGACCTACCTCCAAGCCACCGACAGTTCTCCATGTCATTCCGTCATCCATACATTTGTAACTACTCGTTTTACCTAATATCGTATAAAATGTAACCAACACTTGCTAGAAATCCGACGAAGATCGTGAAGGTGTTCCGAGCACACAAATTGCCGAAACTCCTCGTGCGCTTATATCCCCCCCCCCACATACAACCACAGCTCCGCAGACACGCACACGGACATATTCGACTCTGAATATTTGCATAATCCTACTTTAGCGTAATTAATACCTTTGGTTCAATACCTTTTGTAAATATAGACATAATTTGAAAAATTCTCTTAATTTTGTCCACGACTGTATGTGTACGTTTGTCCTGCCGACTGCAATAAAAAAGAGGTTCTGAACTAGATGTTATAGCAGTCCCATAGACAAAATTTCTGCATTCTACGGTTAATCATTTTTGGGTTATGCAAGCTACCTACGTACATACATGCATACAAAAGTCACGGAAAGTATCTTTTAAGTCTATTTTACAATACGTGTTAGAAAAAACAGCCCTTTATTTTGTCCGAGCGTGCAGAAGCCGCTCAAAAAAATCACCCACACGGATTCTTGATCCAGATGATTTCCAAGTGGATATCTGTTGAAATAGGATACCTAAAATTTTTCTCGATAACAATACTTCCTTTGCTTCATACATGGAAGCAAAAAACTACAATTTTCACTGTATCACTTTAATTACTCACACTTCTCTGTTTGTGTTTACTCACGCACTGCACTTCACTGCTAAGAAACTGAGGTTCGAATCCACGAAGGATATTGTTTTATATATCACTACCAACAGGTAAATATAACAGTCATTGTAAATAAAAGTAAAACTAGTGAACTTTTTTTTTTCTGTGTTCTTTTCCTTTTTTATTTCGTATTTAAGTATTAAATTAAAAATACGAATGTGGCTTTGAATTTATAAAAGGGAAATGTTGTTTAAATATTGCTTTTTATGGACATTTTTTACAAACATTTTTTTTTTCTTAATACGTATTGTTTATTTTAACATCTATTATCAATATTTCTGTTTAAAATATAATCTGTACATTAACCAGAAAGGCGTTTCAAACATAAACATAGCATTTTAGAGAATTCATTCGCTGAAAATTATTTCAACAACGTCGAAAATTTGGTAGATATTACAAGCTATATTTAATCACTCTCGTAGTTGGGGATATATTGCAATGCTTTTTTGACCTAACATTTTTTTGTGTTTATAAGTTTGAAGCAAAATTTATTTTTGTTGTTTTAAATGTTACTTTATTCATTGTCATTATCACCCACGGAGATATAAGTTTCGGGAAACTTTATGACCCGCAGCTGTTTATTGGATAAATTCCGTTTTATACTTCTATTTTTCATGCTTTAGAAATTCTGTTAGTGTAAAGAAAGAATTTTTAGGAGATAGTTTAATTACTTCTTAATTAAATAATTCGATACTTAGAATGTACTTCAATACTTAATTATCATCTGGGAAAGAATGTTTATGATCAATATTCAAATTATAGTAAGGACAAAAATGTAATTCAGAAGAAACTATACTCAGTTATGGTAATATACAATGACTGAAGGGGAATATAATGAGGCATTTTTAAATATTTGAAAACATTTCTGTTAAGAATAACATTCTTTTTCTGTTTTCAGATGTCGCACCTGTACTTTTGGCGACATTTACCGGTGAAGCTGTTCGACCCGGTTCTTCCGTATCCTTGCGTTGCTCTGCCTCTGGAAATCCTCTTCCCCAGGTAATACCGTAATCTAAAATTCTAGAAAAAGAGAATTCTAGAAAATCTTTAAAAAAGAAAAAAAAATAGAAATTCTAGAAAACATTTTATAAGAACTTAGTCAAACAAGTAAAAGGAAAAAAGAATATCCTTTTGTTTAACAAAATTAAAAAGAGCGTACACCTTCTAAGTAAACTTTTAGACACACCACATGCATTATAAAACAGAGCGAAATTATGAAAGTTACTTTCCATAAAACTACCTTTCAAAAATTACTTGTTCACTTTATTTTCACTGTATCACTTTAATTACTCACACTTCTCTGTTTGTTTTTACTCACGCACTGCACTTCACTGCTAAGAAACTGAGGTTCGAATCCACGAAGGATGTTTCTTTATATACCACTACCAATAGGTAGGCCCAACCATACAAAAAAAGCTTCGAATGGCACACAATTTTCAGAGCATTCCACAACATTCGAGAGTATTCTGGAATGTTCCACAATGTTCCGGGATGTTCTCGAACGTTCTAGACTACTCCCGAACATTCCACAACATTTCAGTATTTTCCAGGATGTTCTGGAATGTTGTGGAACACTCTCGAATATTCTAGACTGTTCCAGAAATTTCTAGAGGGCGAAATTTCCAAACATTATATCTTCAAAAACACACTCTTCAGGTAAAATCGGGAACCATCTTCATGGATGTTGCATTAGAGGGCTACAACACCGTATAACTTCCTTGAGCGTACCGGGACGCACATTGTACATTTTAGCGGCACGCACATTATACACTTGCTTTCATAATATATATTGATTAGAATGGCTAATGTCACCTTAGAATCGGACAGTGATTCAGGTAGGTAATTATAAAACAAACTGTATTTTTATCCATTTTCTTCTACATTTTAATTCATCTTAATATTTTATTATTATTATTTTATAACAATCATTCCAATGAATAGAAACAAAAAACGAATCTTGGAATCAGTCTCTGATGAAAAGAATACATATTTAATAAACGTTCCGTAAAAAATCGGTTTGATTCAATTGAAATCCCAATATTTCATAGGTGTAAAGTTTTCACATTTTATCATTTTGGAAGTGGTGTAGATCCATTTGAAGTCATCAAAAGTATAAATTTATCTCAGCTAATAATTTAAAACCATTACATTATAAATTTAAATCAATTTAATATTTATAAAACATAAAATGAACTTGTTAACATATATCGATATTTTTCAAATCGTTCAAATACAAACCCTTAAATATCTCCATATAATATAAAATGGACTACGGCATTTTCAAATAAAATTTTCAGTACGCCATTTTCAGTATAAAATGGCTCATATAATATTATGAATAAATATTTTGTGAGGCTTGTCTTCTTTTTTAGGTCTTGAAAATAAGGTAATGTAATTAAATACTGCTATTTATATAATTCTATATAGGACCACTAGTTCCAAAATACCGAGACACGTTTACCACTCTAATATCCGATTTTCTAATTGCCAGCGGATAGCTGTCACTCCAGCATTTTGAAGGAACTAGGCGCAGAATTGCCAATTACTTCGTTTAAAATACCATGTTCCGGTAAAATATTTTAGTAATTGCATCTTTACATTTTAACTCACTTAGGTATATTTAACTATTGTAAATTGTTTATAAAGCGCAGAGCATTTAATAGTGTGATTTATTGTACATTTTTATACTTTCGTAGTGTTAAAAATTCACTTATTTGTGGTGCGATGTGCGCTCGCATACTCTGGCAAAACAGTACACAAACTATGTTTGTGTTACCATTGAGCTGTATGAAAATAATGGTACTGGACGTTTAGATGATTTGAATGTGTCGGTTTGATTTTTTTTTTTTTTTTTTTTTTTTTTTGACAAAAGTTTCGGGTCACATTGTAAATTCACAGCTGTGTGTTATTAACAATAACGTTAATATTCCTTATAATTGCTGATTGCACTTACCACTGTTATGCATACTATTATTATTATTTATTTAGAAAAATATATCTATTTTTATTATAATCAAAAAGCGTACTTTTAATTCATTTATCGTATGAATGCTTTTCAGGTGACATGGTTCCTTGATGATGTTAACATACCAGATGCCATGCGATTTCGTGTCGGAGATTACGTCACTTCGGACGGCTATGTGATGAGTTACGTAAATGTGACGGATATTCGTGTGGAAGATGGCGGAGAATACTCATGTACTGCAACAAATGCCGTTGCCTCCGTTCGCCATGCAGCCAGGCTAGATGTCTATGGGCCTCCATTCGTGAGACCAATGGCCAATTTTAGTGTTGTTGCTGGACAAAGGGTTTTGCTCAAATGCCCCATTTCAGGATATCCTATTGAATCTGTGACGTGGATCAAAGGTTTGTACGACTTGCAATGACTAGAAAGGATGTAAAAAATTAGAATCTGTATAACATATCTGATAACGGCTGGTTTTAATATAAGTTATATCTCAGACTTCTTATAAATATGAAAATCATTCAAGAATATTAGAAATATTTATTAATCTAATTTAGAAACATGCAAATCATCGATGAATATTTATTATGATAAAATCACCGTACATCAGGACATAGCAACTTCAGTTTATAAGTATAGGTAACGGACAAAATCAAGAATAACGATGATATAAATTTCTGATCAACGTATAGTAAAGATCGTTGCAGAAAAATAGATGAAATTAATTTAGGACCAAAAAATCCATCATACTGTAAGATTAGGACAGATCCTTTCCCGTCAACAGTATCTCAACAGAATGTGGAAATCTATAAATTCTACGAGTGGTTATCAATATATTGAATGTTTATAAAAATTTCTAAAATGTTGAAAATATGGAAACAAAATATTTTCGGAAACGTGAGTTAAGTATTTCCTCTAAACAAACTCTTAGCAAATATTTAGGAGAAAAGAGTCTTGTAGAAGAAAAAACGCCAAAGCGAGCACTAATGAACTAGTAATGAAACACTTCCGCATTCCGCAGTCCTGCTAGGCTAAAGAGTAGCAAGCAAGTGCTTCATGCTCAGGATAAAATCTTAATTCAGACTGAGTTAGTTTTGGTTCTCAGTGCATTTTGATTGGATAATTACTACTGTTGTAAAATTTGTATTGGTTTTTTAGAGTCCCATTTACATCATCAGAGTTATGTAAGACATGGAATAGTCCCGAAATGGCGCTGTGCGAAGAGAGATTACTGTTTTTAGAATAGAGAAAGGAAATTAATTTAGCTGCTAATTGTAATTATCTTTTATATAGTTTTTATTTATATATATATATATATAATTTCTCGATTAGCCTGGTTTCCACTAATTCAGGATAGTGGCAGAATGGATTACTAGCATTAGATAAGTTATTACTGTACATGTTTGTAAGTGCTTGTTTTGCTCTTTTTTTAACTATGATATTAGGGACAAAACATTTTGGCTTCAATAAAACTTTGCGCTCATTGTATATTTAAGCATTACTTCTTGCCATAAGTATGTCGAGACGAGTATACAAACGACGAGTATATAAAAGTCATATCTGAACACCATACAAAACAAGCAGGTAAGCTTGATTTTGCTTCTTTTTGTGTTAGTACTGGAATTTTATGTCTAGAGTAATAACAGTAAGATACTAAATATAATGAAAATATATATTGACTTTTAATATCACTTTGTTTTATACGTATTGCTTCTGTGTATTCTTCGCATTACTTCTGTGTACAAATTTCATCTCGGTATTTAGGATAAGTTATCTTAATTCATTTGATATAAAATAAATTGTGCTTAGATTTTACTGAGGAATGTTTATAATTAATGAAATCAATTTACAGATTATATCTTTGTTGATTAGAAATTAGACTTCCTTTTTAGTCATATGTTCTCAAAAACAGTATATTTGATCCATCAGTTTTTCTATGTTTTTTCTTATAAGGTGTATTTTCCTGAAACGTTTAGAGATGCGGTTTACATTACAATTTCTTGGAGTCACTCATTTATTTATCTAGATTCTAACATTTGGTCGTTGACCTATCACTGTGTTTGTAACTGTGCTTGTGTTGTTTGTAACTTTATTTGCCTTTGTTGAAATATGTTAATCTAACTCTGAAGAAAAATATCTTAAAGGCAAAAAACTACATTGACTAATTGAGGAATGAGAGAGATATATTGATGCGCCACCTGCAACGAGAAGAAAACTTTAATTAAGAAAACATTTTAGCTATTATTAACATTCTAAATTTTTGCTTGGTCTAGAAAAGCAGCAACTTTTTAGCTTCTCTTTTGCAACGTAACCTAAGTTAATTAACTTCACAGTTTGATAGTTATAATTTTCGGTTTCCTTATTTATTCATAGTAAAAACATGCTGCTGAGATGGATAACAATTAATTATACACGCATTTGTGAAAGTGTGTAAGGTATTCTGACGTTTCCTTTAAATAGCATAATACCAGAGCTTGCAATATAATAAATACGCAGTGAAAAATAACGTTCTTACGGGTCAGAAGCTGAAACTGGAAATAAATTTATTTACTGGAATCAATTTATCAAATGGATTTATCAACTGGAAATAAATTTATTCACGTATGGTTCATATATGTGATTAAAAAAAATAAGTTCATATATGTGACTTATGTGATTAAAAAAAATATGTAATAAGAAAATGCTATTTTTTGTGCCTTATATCGTTATAATTTTTTTCTTTAAAATGCAATTTTTTATATTTCGCTTACGATAGATGGCGCCACATTACCCATCAATCATCGACAGAAGGTAGAAAAGTTAAGTCATCTTGTCATCCAAGATGTTCAACGTTCTGCTGATGAAGGATTTTATATATGCGAAGCCACAGGTTCTGAAAATAAAAAAGCAGAAGGAAAGATGCATATGAGTGTTCTTGGTAATAATTCTTTTTGTGTTATATTCTATTAACGTGCGAATGATTTTATCTTATGCTAGAACTGTAAAGAATAATTTTTAAATAATCCTTTCATTGTAGCTTGGTGTTAATAAATCTTATAAAAACGAAAAGTTTTCTTCCTCCCCCCCCTTTTTTTTTTTTTTTTTTTTTCTTTATTCATTTATTTTTATTTCCTTCAATTCCCAACAATCTCTGATATCTTCAACTTCTCCTCGCAAGTAAAATACTAACTTATTTTAAATTTGTTCTTCTTTAAAGGAATTTAATACCTCTATATCGTTGTAGATTTCCATATAAGAAAAAAAAGAGAGAAATTGGCGGTAGTTGTAATAAAAAGATTAGGCAAAAAAGCCCCCCAAAAATCTGAAATGTTACAGATTTTAAATTACGTCTAAAGGGGCGTTTTTTTAACCTTTTTTGTTACCTTTATTTATTAAATATCATGTTCTTTGCACTTAAACCATAAAATTCAGTTCAGTAGCAATGTCGCAAAATAATTTTACAATGAGCATATCTTTAAAAGAATTTCACGCAGTTCCGCGCCCGCTAGAAATAAAAAGGTCCCCCACCGTAGAGTGTTGGCATTGCTCGCTTTTAAATCGTTGAGTTTGTAAATTCGTTAAAGTTTTACAAAATATGAAATCGATCATAAAACAAATTCTAAATTTCAAATTCGGTCTTCCAGATGCTCATACTCGTAAGAGGATTACGTCATTCGAAATTCGATGGCTCTATGTACAGTTGTTTTATCACAATGCGAGAAATATACGTACATTTATACAAATGTTTTATTATTTAATTTCTTCAAATATAATGCAACTCTAACATTTGGTGGCAACAGTTTGAAAAGTGAAACGGACATTTATAGTAATTCAACGCAAAGCAAACGAAAAATAGTCCTTCAGGACAAGCCCTTGGACTAATAAAAGCGCACTATTTTTATAATAGCTTTTATTTCCCTAAATTAAATATATTATATATATAGTATATATATGAAATGTAATTTCTCATACATTATTTGTTTTGTGCAGCCGGGGCAACAGGAATGAGACAAATTTTGGAATATAAAGTGGTAGGTTTATTTTAGCATCCATCTCGTAAAGCGTTCTCCTCGTACCTTGAGCAGAAGCCCTACTTATACATATGTGTACGTCACGAAGGCTCCTCCAATCAGCGATATTAATTGAAATCACGAGGTGACGCTATCTTCTCATCAGGAGTGTTCTTAAGTACTTTATGTAATATGACAGATTTATGAGTTTGGCGATTTGGCGGGCGCCAACAGGTTAATATATTTTATACTAAAGAAAGGATTTCGCCAAAATTTAGGAACAGGGATGCAATTTAGGTAGAGAATCGCCAACACATTATTAAGCAATATTAATAGAATTTAATTTAATCAATTGATTTAAAAATATCATTACAGATTATCCCCCCCCCCATCTGAAAAGGCTTGCAGTCGCGGCCGTCGACCCAAGACAGTCCAGATAGTGAGAGCAGAAAATTTAGTTATTAGGAAATTAAGTGAGTAGGAAAACTGATTGGATTTACCTCAAGGCACACAAAATGTTTACATAAAATATGACATAAAATATTTGAATATAATTAATACAGTATATAAAATATAATAAATGATTAATGAAATTATAATATAGTAACTAAGTGCAGAACAAATAAAGCACTAATAACATATTGCTGGTTAGCTACGCGGCAATAGGAAATAGTAATATAACTGAATTTGTAAGTTTATATCTTAGGGCATGCCATTCACAGTTTGTGTATGAGTCCATACAATCATTAGAGTTGTCATTCAGGCTCATCTTCAGTCTTTTACTGGTCTTTGGAGATCTCCGGATCATTTAATTAGCGCTAGAATTATGGATCAGCATTGGCACTGAAAACATTTGAGTTTTTATGTCACGATACTAGAGCTCTTATACTCTTGTTGAAAATACACATTTTGCTAGGTTTTTAACATATTTTGTCACTCTATTTTTCTCTTATTAATGATAACAAAACAAAATTTAACTTCCAACATCCATACCAGTTTTTTGTACACGATGCTGCAGAAACATAAAATGAAATTCAGAAATTTCAACAACTGAAATTTAACTTTTTCAACTGTTGCTACAATTTATAACACAAACATAGGAAAACATGAGCTCAAGGAAATGTGAGGGTATAGTACTCTACTTGTAGTATAGCCTCAATTGAGTGTTTCCCACACGGAAAGTGCATTGAACCTGAAACTCAAGTTTGAAGGAGCCCAGTAAAAGAAAAGGGCAGACAAACTTTTCAGACACTGAGAGATAAATCAACTATTAAGGGGGACAACAGGATGAAAACTAAAAGAAGGGTTATGGATAGTTTATTGATTTATAAATTTTGATTTATTCATGATGTAATTTAAAGTTCTCGGGTGGATAATAGAACCTTAATTTTGACGCATGTACAATCTCAGTTGGTTTCTTCGTGTGAAAATTTTCCCTGTCGATTTCATAATTAACTTCAGATAATTTATTCATAATCCGATAAGGGCCTGAATAGGGTGAAGTCAATTTTCTAGTATTTGGGTATTCAAATTCCTCGTAAAGGACAAAATCTCCAGGTTGAAATTTAGATTCTACAAATCTGATGTCATATCTAGTTTTATTCTTTCGGTGGTATTCGATAGTTCTTTTCTTTGCTAAAGCCCTTGCTTCATTTAAGGAAGGGTATTTATTTTGATCAATTGGAGATTCAAAAGGGAGGTTACCAAATAGTAAGTATGCTGGGGTGAACTTAGTTACCGTATGAGGGGAGTTGTTATATTCGATAACAACTTGCTCTAGCACTTTAGTCCATGGTACTTTTTTAGAAGAAGAATTTACTTTACATTTTAGTCGACTTACTATTGATTGATTTACTCTTTCTACTTTACCATTTGTCTGGGGATGGTGAGATGAAGTTAAAAGTTGTTTAACATTATGCTTTTTAAGAAATTTTTTGAATCTAGAGGAAGTGAAGGCTGCATTCCTGTCACTCAGAATTTTTTCGGGGACTTGTATTTGAAATATTTGTTTTAGACAATTGGCATAGGTTTCTGAAGTTACACTTTTAGAGGGAAAAGCCCAGACATATCTTGTTGCATGGTCAATAACTATATGTAAATATTTTTTTGTAGAATTATAATAATTAAATCCTCCCACAGTGTCAATAGAGAGACATTCGAAAGGTTTGTCGGTTGGGGGTACGTCTTGCATAAGACCAAATTTTTTCTGTTTTTTTTCTTTTTATTAAGTTGACAAGTATGACAATGTTTAACAAAATTTCCGATATCTTCGCTAATATGAGGCCAATAATATTGAGGGGTGATTAAGTTAAGCATAATTTGAACTCCCGGGTGACCAAAATTTTCATGGGTTTTATTCAACAATTTTAATCTTAAAGATTTAGGTACTACAATTTTATAAAAATTCTTTTTCTTAATTACCATCATATCATTTATCTCTTGGTAATTTTTTCCGCAGACATTATCAGTTTTTTGTTGTTGGATTATTTCATTTCTATCAAGTAAATGTACATAATGTTGGAGGTGCTGTGAAACAGGATGTCTAGAAAGCATGTCAGCTTCAATATTGGTAGAGCCCTTCTGATACTTTACTTCATAATTGAACATACTTAGTTTGAGTGACCAACGGAAGAGTCTACCTTTTAAATTTTTAACATTTTTGAGCCAAACGAGGGCCGCATGGTCCGTATGTATAACAAATTTTTGTCCATGCAGATAGTAATAGAATTTGTCTAGGGCATCTACTATGGCCAAACATTCTAACTCAGTAATCGTATAATTTTTCTCATAATTTCTTAAAGTTCGGGAATGATATGATACAGGGTGAAGGACATCATTTTCATCTGGTTGTTTCAAAACAGCTCCAACAGCAGTTTGAGAAGCGTCAACAAAAATATGACATGGCCTACTGGAATCATACAATTGTAAAACAGGTTTGGAAATCAGTATTCTTTTCATTTCGTCGAAAGCTTTTTGACATTGGTCATCCCATTCCCACTTGACATCTTTTTTCAAGAGTCTGTTTAATGGAGCTCTAATAGTTGCATAATTCGGAATGAATCTATGATACACATTCACACTTCCCAAAACTCTTTGTAACTCTTTGGTGTTACTGGGGTTTTTAAGTTTCTTAATAACTTCTATATTATGGTTATCGGGAATTATTCTACCATTTTTTATTTCATAGCCAAGAAATGTGATCTGATCTCTGGCGAACACACATTTGTTTCGATTCAATTTAATATGCTCCTCTTTAAACACCTCAAATAAAATTTTTAAATGTTCTAAATGTTCCTTCTCAGAGGAAGAGAGTAAACGATTATATCATCAAAGTAACTGCAAGCGAAATTAATTTTATTTTTTGTTAATATTCGTCTAATTGTTCTGTTAAAAATTGCAGGAGCATTTTTGAAACCAAAAGGGAGTCTTAACCATTCGAATAATCCAAAATTCGTGCAAAAAGCTAATTTCTCAGTATCTGCAGGGTGAATCGGGATATGCCAGAAACCAGATCTCAAATCAATTGTAGAAAATACTTTTGCTTTACTTAATTTGTCTAACAAAGTGTCAATGCGAGGAAGAGGGTTTGCATCTGTTTTAGCCAGGGAATTCAATTTTCGATAATCTATACACAATCTAGTTTTTTTTTTCCTTCCTCACGTTTAAGTACTTAAGTCACGGGGGACGAATATGGGCTACAACTTTCTTTAATTATACCTGCTTGTAATAATTGATCAATTTGGGTCTTAATTTCCTCTTCTTCCATAGGGGATGTTCTATAAGGTCTTAATGATACAGGCAAATCAGAATTTAAATTAATTCGTTGAGGTTCAATATTAATTTTTCCTACATCATACTTATTTTTAGAAAACACAGATGAATAATCATTTAACAATTTTTCCAAGTTATACTCTTTGTTATCGACAGT